GGCGGCGGCGGCGGGGCCGGTGGGCGGGATCCTCCGCCCGGGCCTCCCCGGGGCTCCCCGCCCCCGGCCCGCCCCGCCGGGGGGGCCGTGCAGCGCCGAGCACCCTCGGCCCCGCGCCCGAAACCTTCCCAGCTCCTCGCCCCGCGGGAGAAGCGCTGCCCCGGGTCCTCCGACCGGGAAGCGCGGGAAGACACCGGAGAGAGCCAGTGAGGAGCTGCCGGGACCCCCGAGACGGGGGCAACTGGGGCCGGGGCGTCCCGGGACACTCCATGGCCGCCCCCAACCCCGCGTCCCCGCCGAACTCCGGTGGGAGCCCGCCCGGCTCCGCCCGGCCTCCCGGGCCCTCGGTGTCACCCGGTGCTGCCTCCGCAACCCCCCAGGAATCCTCTCATCGTCTCCCCAGCTCTTTGGGGGGAGCAGGACCCCCCTACTCCCACTCCGGCGGGGTCACGGTGCCTCCCCCCCGCCGCACCGGCATCGCTTACTCGGGGAAACCCGACCCGCGGCGGTGGCACCGGGCGGGGCGGGATCCAGGGGAACCGGAGTGGGTCCCCAGTCCAGCCCCCAGCTTTCCGGGCCGGGGGCCGCCGGGCTGGGCTGCGGCTCGGGGTCCCGCCTCCCCGGGGCACCGGCGAGTCTGGCTCAGGACCATGGAGAGCGGCCGCCGTTACCGAGCCCCGGGGCCGCCGGGGGGGACGCGGCTCCTGCTGCGCCGGTCCCGGATCTCCGCGGCGGGAGAGCCCGGCCTCGGGCACTGACGTTCTCCCGCTGCTGCGAGGGGATAAAACGTTTAGGAGACGCCTGCTCTGGATCTCGTTTCAATTAGGAAAAGAGAACCTGACGGCAGCCAGGCACGGCCGCCGACAGATCCTCCCCAGAGACCCCCGCACTCCCCCGAGCCCCGCGCTCCGCCGGGGCCAGGCCACTGCTGGGTCTGGCACCCTGGAAGTGTTCAAAAAACATGTGGATGTGTACTTGGGGACATGGCTTAGTGGTGAAGGTGACAGTGCTTGCTTGTTGGTTGGAGTCAATGATCTTAGAGGTCTTTTTGATGTTTCCATGCCCGTAGCCAAGCCCGACACCCACCCGGTGCGGGGCTCACCGGGCAGGATTGTCTCGGGACACCGGCAGGCAGCAGCAGGCAGCCGCAGTTTGTGCTCTTGAGCACTTCTCTGGCATCTCCCCGGTTGGCCGGGGAGCGGAGCAGCCCCGTGCTGCCCATCGCCATTCCCAGAGCCCCAGGAGCTCTGCACGCAGCGGGAGCAGGGACGGGCCCATGTTGGGATGTGGAGGCTCCGGTGACACAGCCCCCCGGTGACACGCAGCGGGACGGGGCCGGGGGGCCACGGTGACCCCCAGGTGCGTGGGGGACTGAGCCGGGACCCGGAGAGGCCGTGGGTGATCCCGGCAGCGGGCACAGCCCCAGGGCTGCACCCCACGGGCGTCCCACGCGGAGGACACGGCACCCACCAGCACAAAACCTGCAGTGCAGCACGACCCACGCGGACCCTTCCCAACGCAGGATGGCTAAAAATAGCTGGCACCGGCTTCTCGCTGCCGCTACGGAACTAAATATAACCGGCATCGACCGGGCAGAGGGACCGGCAGCAGGCAGAGCGGGAGCTGAGCACGGCCCGGCACCGGCAGGGGCTGGGAGCGAACGAGGCCTAGGAATCCACACGGGAACAGCCCCCTGAGCACGGGGGGAACGCGGGTGCAGCTGCCGGTGAGCGGATGGCGCCGGATCCCCCCAGGGAACTCCCCGCCCCCGGTGCCGGTGTTCCCTGGGCGGGTGAACGCGGTGTGGGGAGCCCAGGGAGCGGGTCGGGTCCCCCCCGCTCTCCACCGGCAGCGGCGGCTGCTGCATCACGGAGAGCGATGAATATTTATGGGCGTTTAAAAATAGCTGCTGCATTGTGCTTCCCCCTCACGTGCGGAGCCAGCGGGGTGCGGGGAAGCTGCTAAATTAGATGTCACCGCGCAGAGAGCTGCTCAGTCAGGCAGGAGCAGGATAAAAATAGAGCCTGCTGTGAGTGCGTGGATCTCCTGCAAAGCAGGACCGGATCCCGTGGGATCCCCCGCCTCCGCACCGGCATCCCCGCACCGCGCCCTGCCAAGAGGGCACGGCAGAGGAGCCGGGCGGGGACAGCGCGGTTCTACCGCGTGGCAATCGGTGGCCTTTCGTCTCCTTTACCCCCCCATGTGCGTCTCTCCGTGCCCAAAGCCCTCTGGAGGCAGACATTGCTGAGCTCTGGCTCCGGCAGTGACCCCGTGCCCTGGCAGCAGCACGGTGCCAGCAGCGCGGGGGCTCGGCGCTCTCACCGTGCCTGTCAGGATGTGCGGCTGGAGCCGAGGCAGGATGGATGGACAGGGTCAGGACACACAGCTCAGCGTGGAGACACGGGGGCACTCAGGGAACCTCAATATCGCTGTGACTCCACCTGGGCCAACACCAAATCCCAGCGTGGGCTGTGCCGAGCAAAATGTCTGTGCCAGCTCGGGGGGCAGAGCCAGGGGCAGCCGGGAGCAGCTCGCTCGGGCCCCGCACACTGCCAGGGGCTCTGCTCGGCTCCGGACAGGGGGTTTGCAGCCCAAAGCGGCTCCGGCGCTGCCCCTCCGCTGCTGGAAGAGCCGGCGGCAGGCACTCACAGAGCCCTGCACAGATGGCTGCGGCACCCGTGGGCCGTGCCAGCCCCACGCGATGAGCTTTGATGGTTGTGCAAACAAAAGCGGAGCCAGATGGTCTCCCCCGCGCTCCAGCGCTGGAATCCTGCGCTCGCTCCCAGCCCCGACCTTGGCTGGGTGTCCTGCAGCGCTGCCGGCCTGCCCGGGCTGTCTGCACAATGCTGCTGCTGGGATTTTCATGCTATCATGGAATCAGCGAAGTTTGGGTGGGAAGGGACTTTAAAAACCAGCCTGTCCCACCCCATGCCATGGGCAGGGACACATTCCAGCTCCCCAGATCGCTCCAAGCCCTGTCCAACCTGGCCTCGCACACTTCCAGGAATGGGGCAGCCACAGCTCCTGCTGGAAGCTGCCCCAGCGTTCCCCCACTCTCGGATTTCCCCTGGGAGAAGCGGCAGGGGCGGCAGCCCACCCTCCCCGGGCAGGCTGGAGGCACCCAGCCGGGTCTGGGGTCTCCTGTGAGCGGAGCGGGGCTCGGTGCATCCCCCGATGCCCCTCCCGCAGCCGCTCCCGCCGGTTCCCATGGCGGCTCCGCCTCTCCGCTGCTGCCGGACTACAGCTCCCGGCGTGCCGCGGCGGGGCGGGCCGAGGGGCGAGCCGGGCCGGGCCGGACCGGGCGGGAGCGGTGAGTGCGGGCCGGGGGCGCGGGGCGGACCGGGGGGCTCTGCCCTCCCCGGGGGCGGCGGCGGCCGAGCCCCGCGGCGGGGCCGGGGGAAGGTGCCTCGCATGGGCCCGGCCCGAAAGGAAAACACCCCAAAGGAGAGAAGCGGGTGCTGGGATGGAGCTGGGGAGCGGCGGGGTGGGAGGGGGGGTCCCGGGTAGGTAGTGCGGGTCCCCACGGTGGGGTCGCGCTGTGCGGAGCCCGGCCGGGAGCGGGTCCTGCCCCGGCCTCCCGGGCACCGTCCCGTCCCGGGAAAACGGGGAGGAAAGTGGGGTCTGGGATTCCACGTGAGCCCGGAGGAGCCCAACCTCGGCCTTCTCTTGGTGTCCAAGATCTCCCGTTAAATCCACCAGGAAAGGCCGAGGCCCCGGGGCGGCTCACGCGTGTCCTCGTCCCCGTGTTCCCCGTGTCCCCTGCGGGGCTCTGGCAGCCCCGGGCCCCCCGAGGAGGAACCGGGCAGCGCTGGGACTCAGACACGTCCAGCACGGCCCCGGGCTGGAGGGTCACGGAGCGCTGTGTTCCCACTCTCACCTCTCAGCCAGCCCAGTTCAGCAGCGTCCCCCATGTCCTCCGTTGCCAGCGGCACAGAAGGGTTTAAAGGATTTGTTTGGGAGGTGGCAGTTGTTGTTGCTAAGAGATTGGGATCTGTGATCCGTGGGATCATTGTCACCTGCAGTCTGGGAACACTCAAGATCAAGATAAGCACCCGAGCCCTCCTTCCCACCCCAGCCCAGTGAAGATCCTGCAGCAGGGTGCCAGGATTGAAGCATGATCCTGAAACCCCTGGGGAAGGGTGACAGCACTGCCAAATCACAGGATCGTTTATTTAGATGGAAAAGGCCTTTAAGCTCATCAAGTCCAGGTGTTAAGCAAGGGAACAGGAAGAGATGATGCTCACACTCCTCTGGGGACAAAGGTGAGGAAGGAGCTGCCCCTGGACAGGGAGCAGGACGGGCAGGATGAGGCAGAGGGAGGGCTCAGCTCCACTGCCACATTGTGCCCTTTGCCACTGGCCACAGCTCTGACTTTTCCCCTCCTTGGATGGCCACTGTCCAATGTCAGCACAGCCCTGACCTTCACCCTCAGCCTGGTGCAACATTCAGGCTTTTCTGTTCCAAAAAAAAGTGGGAAAGCAGAGCCTGGCAGCAACTGCTCTGGGAAGGGGGGGCTGGAGTCCTTCCCATGGTGGGCTGTGTCTTGTTGTCCTGCAGGTGAACAAATCCTGGTGTGGAATTAGAAAGCAAACATGGGATGTGGGATGGGGGTAGGGACAGAGCTCTGGGAGCTCGTGTGCCCTCAGCCAAGCTTGTGCAATCCAAAATTTAGGAGAGCTGGGCCAAGGCAGAGCTGGTGAAATATTTAAGGTGGGGAAGGACAGAGTTGGAGACATGGAATCACCCTCATTGCAGCAGTGAGTGCTTGGTGTGTCTGTATGTCCTGAAGGAATGAATTAACCTCTCCTATGTTCCAGCATCCCACCCCTCTAATCCTTAATTTCCCAAGGAAGGGAAACTGAGGCACGGGAAGGAGAATTGCTTCACGTACAGCTTCCAAGTGGGGCCCTTTCCCTCCCAGCTGTGGGTCTGCAACTGCCCTCCTTTGCAGAGGAGACCAAATCCAAGCTGCTCCTTAGTTTTTGGAAGTTGTGGTTGGAAATTCCACAGCACCAGCCATGTGCACCTCTGGCTGCAGGGAGCTTCCACAGCCCTTGGATAACGATGTCAGGAAAGACTCAGGAAAGACTCCTGGAGGGAAGGCTTTTAACTGTTGATGAAATTAGATTTTAAGGCCTCCAGTGAGAGCACAGATCACTTTCTGTGGGCAGTCCCTTCCCAGTCCCTCCTCCTGCACCCCTCTGTTGCTCCTAGACCCAGCCATGTGGTTCCTCCTGCTGCACAGCTGGAATCCCACAGACACAGCTCTCTGTGGAGCATCCAGCTGTTCCTCACGCCTGTCTCCAGCATCCTCCAGACTAAACAATCTCATTTCCTTCCAGCTGTCCTTGCAGGTCATGTTTTTCCTACACCTCTGTTCATTTTCTCCAGCTCCTCCCAGGACTGGACAGTGTTCACCCAACATCCAGGAGAACTATTTCCCATGTCTGGCACTCAGCACTCCTGTTTACACATTCTGTAGGGTGATTTTCTTTTTGTTGTTGTAACAATCTGACTCTTTTTGACTCATTTATCCTTTGCCCCAACCTTCTGAGAGCCCTTGGGAATTGCAGCAGTTTTAGGACAGAGCTGCTCCCTCTGCCAGGGGTGAAATGCTGAACTCTGGCTCTCAGTCCTGTTTCCAAATCAAACTTTGGGCTTTTCTCTGGAATATCCATAAGTTGGTGACCTGGGATGTGTGCAACAAGGGAGTGAGCACCCCACAGACCTGCAGCCACTTTCCTGGAAACAAAATCTCCAGGTATGAGCCCCCTGATAGAGTGAGGTGAGGATGTGCAGCAACAGCTGCCTGTGTGCATGGAAGAGGTTTGGGAGTTACTTGGAGCATTCCAAGAGCTGTGGAGTGAAGTGGAGGCTGGCTGTGAGTCCCAGCCCTGGGCAGGAGTGGGGATGGTGCCAGCTCCTGAGGCAAGGCAGGCCCAGCACTGTGAGGGAGCTGGGAACAGCTGGCAGTGAGGAGAGTGTGATGTTGGATCTGGCTCGAGCTCGCCTCCGGAGAGCTGCAGGGAACAGCAACACAGCTTCCAGCTGTGGGAAGCAAGAGCAAAGGCACAAGGCCAGGCATCAGGAAACAGCCTTCACTGTGGGGTGCTGTAGCCAAGGAGGATGAACTGGATCATCTCATCAAGCTCCTCTTCCGTGGGACACAAAGATGATTTTACATAAGAATTTCCCTGATGTTGGTGTGAAGACATTCAGCTTTACAGCGGGTTTAGTTTGTGCTGTTTTCTGTAATCCCTGGATATCAGTGAGCCAGAGCTCTCCTGCTAACACTGGCACCGTGTCATTCCAGAAAGCCACTTGATACCTTCACTGTCTCAGAGGCACCGCTCCAAGGACTTGCTCTGAGAGGGTGATACTCTCTTGCTTCCTCTCCCTCCTGGCATTGTCCAGGAAACCATCTTTGTGCTCCTCCTCCATGGCAGTCGTTCTTTCCAGGTAGGGGAAGGGCTAACTCCTCCACAGCTCTTCCTCCTGAAACATCCTCCCAAGGCATTTTGTGCTCTTATCTCTCCCTTTTTGCGTTCCTCAAGAACAATCTCATTCCTTCCCTGGGGGGCAATTTTTTTTGTTCCTCTTTTTTTTCCCCTCTGTGAGTCTTAAATCTGAAGGCAAAACACGTGAGCCAGAGTAGGAGACCAGCAAACCTCCCGAGCTGTGCAGAACCATGTTAATTTAGTTAAATTAATTAGGAGATCTGTTGATACAGAGCCTTTCCTCTGCAAATGCTCTGTTCCCTTCCCAAGTTTAAGTCATGCTGACTCCATAAACATGCAGAAAACTTCCTGTGCTGTGTGTTTCTATGATTAACACTGTGATGAGGATTTTAAAGTGCTTAAAAGTATTGGTTTGAGTTTTGTCAGGCAATCGTGGGATTGAACCTCGACACCTCGGCTTCAGGAAAGCATCTCAAATCACAAGAAGCTTCTGTCACAGACAAGCTTCCCACACATAATTCCCAAATCTCAACCACTCCCGGAGTTAGCGACGTCAGCTCTAAGAATGGCAATAACGAGGGGCAGAGGAGGGAACTGACTGGGGATTTTTATAGCAAACAGCAGATTTTGGCTTTGCTTGACAACCAGCCTGTGCTCAGCCCCACTGAGCGGTTTGGATCCGGGCTCTGACCTCAGTGTTTGTGTTGCAGGGGCTCCTGCCAGCCAGGAGGGGCAGGATGAACGTGGGAACGGCGCACAGCGAGGTGAACCCCAACACGCGGGTGATGAACAGCCGCGGCATCTGGCTGTCCTACGTGCTGGGCATCGGGCTGCTGCACGTCGTGCTCCTCAGCATCCCCTTCTTCAGCGTCCCCGTGGTCTGGACTCTCACCAACATCATCCACAACCTGGTAAGGGAGCGGCGTGGCCCGGGGTACATGTGGGGAACCTTGGCACAGCTGTTCCTCTGGGCAATCTGCTGAGATTCCTGTTGAAACGATTCCTTTGTGTTTCCAAAGATGCCGGGTGAGTTGCTCAATCTCCGGCCCTCAGCCTGTACTGGTGCCTCTGGGTCATGGATTTACATCCAGCCCAGGTACAGGTGAGGCAGCAACACCTGGTGAGGCTGCTCAGAGGGGATGTGAATTAATTCCCTGTAGGGCAAATCCTTCATTGTGTCCCCTTCCAAAAGAAATCTGTGACAGACCCCATCATTGGGGTTGGTAAAACCTGAATTGGCCTCGTGAGAGTTAAGAAAAAACAAGATTAACCCCCAGATTTGTTCTGACTAAAGTAAAAGATTAGTCCAGGAACTGATTCTTCTCTCTGAAGATCAAGTCCTCACATAGGTCCCCTTGGGCACAGGGGACAAAAAACTTCAGGGATGGAGGAACTGATTGTGTGTCTTTTATTCTAAATAATATCTCAGCCTGGGAATATTTCAGAGATAAAAATTACAGGGATTGAGGACCTTCATGATAAGTTATTACTGGTGGGGGATAAAAACCTCCACAAACGCCCAAACTGGAGCTGCTCAGGAGATAAAAACCTCCACAAACCCTCAAACGGGAGCTGCTCAGGAGATAAAAACAACCACAAAGCCCCAAACTGGAACTGCTCAGCACTCAGCTCACGAGCTGCTGGCTTCTCACCCATCTTCCCTGGCAGCTTTAGTTTCTGGGGACAAAAAGAAATTTAAAGGCCAGGAGTGGCTGTACTTGGGAGCTGTGGTGTAGCTGGAATGTTTGTCTGTGCCTTGCGTTCCCCTGGTAATCAGGGGGTCACAGACCTTCTCCCAGACATTTTCGGGGAGCCTTCAGGCAGCAGGCAGGCGCTAATCTCCCGATCGCAGAGATCCCAGGGCTGTAATCTTGCCACCGCCTCCTTGGCTCACACCCAGGAGCCGAGCGAGAGGTCTGACGTGGAGCAGCCGAGCTGGCCCGGCCTTTCCCAACTCTCCTTTCCCTGCTTCCCGGCCGCTCCGGCTTTTCCAGCAGCTCCACATCCCTCTAGTGGAACGGCGCGGGGGTGCAAGCGCCCAGATCCACTGCTGTGGATCCGGGCTTTTCGGGGTGCAGGGCCCCGTGTGCCTCACGCCGTGTGTCCTGCAGAGCATGTACATCTTCCTGCACACCGTGAAGGGAACCCCCTTCGAGACCCCGGACCAGGGCAAGGCCCGGCTGCTCACGCACTGGGAGCAGATGGATTATGGAGTCCAGTTCACCGCGTCCCGCAAGTTCCTCACCATCATGCCCATCGTCCTGTGAGTATTCTGGGATGGCTGAGCCACCTCGTGTCCCAGTACCCATCAGTGTTCTGTCCTGGGAGACGAGCACATGGAATGCCACAGCTCAGTTTGCCTCTCTCTGTTCCCACCTTCCCTTTGCAGGTATTTTCTAACCAGCTTTTACACCAAGTACGACCGGATACACTTCATCATCAACACCATCTCCCTCATGAGCGTCCTGATCCCCAAACTGCCTCAGTTCCACGGAGTGCGGATCTTTGGCATCAACAAGTACTGAGCGGCGTGGCCGGAGCGGATGGCGGAGGAGCGGGGCCCAGGGGGGATTCTTCCCTCCAGCCCCCTTTCCTCCCCCCACACAGACTGGGATGTGGTTTGGCAGCGGCTGTTTAAAGGCAGATCCCAAGAGACACATTCCGCATGCTGGATCCTCGTGCCCAATAAATCCAAACCAGCTCCAGAGTAGAGTTTAGTGCGGAGCAGGACGTGCGACACCGGATTTCTCTTCTCCCAGGGTCATCAGTAAATGCAAAACCACTGAGACTTTGAGGTACAACAAGGATGAATTCTGGGAAGAGTCTCATCTATTCCAGACATGGAATGACGAGGATAGGGATGAGGGGGAAAGCTTTTAGTGCTGGTACTATTGCTGTGGTAAATGCACTTTAAAATACATTTCCCTTCCTGAAGCTGGGTGCTTTGAGCAGAACGTGAGGGAAATCCAAAGGGATACAGCCAGACTTTCCCAGGACTGGATGGTTTTGGGGTCTGATTTCCAGTTTTAGGTGGGAAGTGGGAGGGGGAAGTGAACGACAGATTTTTATTTTGCAATCGTTGACACCACTAAGAAGGGAAATTCTTTTCCTAAAAACAGCACAGGATGAAGTGACCTGCAGTTTGACAAAGCTTTTGATTTCCTACATCAGCATCCATGTGGTCCAGGGAAAAGGTGGATAGATCCAAAATCATGCTTCTTACTTTCAGTTTATACCCAAATCTGCCCAGGTAACTCCTCTCCCACCCCAAACTGCTGTTTTTAAGTGCACAGGGGCTCAGTGGGCATTTGGATCAAGGGCTGGGGGCAGGTGATTTCATGACTGACACCAAATGCCATGGAGCTCCTTGGAGCATGGACATGGACAGGTGTGGGAGAGGCAGAGAGTGGGCAGTGGGACAGGAGGAAGGCTGATTGCTCTAATCAAGCATGCAGCCATCCTTGACTTGGAATTTTTCTCCTCACTTCAGCTCCTTGGTTGCTTAAGTGCGTGTGACTGGGATTTGCCAGTTCTCCATGGACTCAAGGGTTGGATTTCTGGCTTAGCTGGAAATCTGTCCCTCAGCTCCATGCCCAGGGGCTGTGTGAGCAGCAGCACCAGCAGCAGATGAATTGACCAGCAAAGGAGACAATTTGTCACTGATAGTAGATCCTGTCACAGAGGAACAAAATTAAGCCTTTTTCCTCTAAAATTACCACCTAAATAAAGCAGGCTTAGGTTTCCTGGCTGAGACAGCTTTTGCTGTTTTACTGAAAATCAGAATGACCTGATTTGCCTTTGGGTTGTGTCCCAGATGGAATGGGTTTTCCCTCACTCTTCCCCTGTAACCCCATAAAAACCTATATTTTTGTTGTCTTAGTGCTTATATCGTCTCACCTTTTTTGACAATTGTATAAATCTTTTAAATCTGCAATTTTTTTTTTGTCCTTGCAGTAGCAAATCCAGCTTTAGAGGCCGTGGTGGAGAGTGTTGAGGTTTTGGATGGTCTGAGCATAGGATATGGAAGGGGGAATTTTTAGATCTGTTACTACTCCATGCATAATTTTAGCCAAGTTGCTTCACTTCTCTCACAGACTTCCTTTGGGACTGCTACAGGGAAGGGAAAATATGGAGTGTATCTCAAAGGTCTGCTGGAATGCAGGGAGAATCATCCCCTAAAGTGTTTGGGAAGTGGAAATCCAAGTGAAAAGGAAGTTTTCAAGCAGGTAGAAGGAGAAGAGAATCTGGCTGGAGACCCCAGGGAATTGACAGATGTGCAATTTCCTTGATGGGCAGTTTAAACCTTCAAACCTAGGATAGAAGGGCTGCTGCTTTAGCTGAGGTACTCTCTACCCTAATCGGCTCTTTAAGCTACTAGACAATGATAATTGTGATAAAAATAGAGATATTTCATCAATCAGCTGGGAAATGACACAGACATGGGCAGTACTCCTGCAGGAGGGGCAGGTCCTGGCAGGGTGCCTGAGGCTGGAGCTGAAATTCTGATTGTGGTGCTGAACAGACCTGAGTGTCTGCGCAGACACCACTTCCATCTCCAGGGGAAATGAAAGAAAACTAATTATTGTCATAGAAAACATGGGGAAAACCATCTTTTTTTTGCAACAGAAACAGCCTCTAGATGCTTTCAGACATGACTTCTCACAGACAGACATATGCTGGGTATTTCTAAGCATATGCACATCACAGATTTGTAAATTTAGAATAATTATCAATTGAAAGGATCAGCTTTTTTTTTTTTATGAGATACAGCAATAACACAGCTGTGGGTTTGAACACTTGTGTGGTCACTGACACTATCTGACTCTGTTTCCTTAAATTAAAGATCAGCTGGGACTCAGAATGGGATTATAAACTTCTCAAACAAGCAGGTTCTAAAGCATAAAGCCCCAAACTTGTAATTAAGACTCTGCTTAGCAACAAAAGTAAATATTTTTTGATTTCTCTCCTTCACACAAATGATCAAAACAGCCAATGGCAGAGACACTCTTCACAACACAGGTGTGGCATTTTTCCATGGAATAACTGACATTAATTTGGACTCAGTTAATCCAGTCAAGGGAAACATAAATGAAAACATAAGTAATATGGAAAGAAGCAAGTTGAAGAAAGATTTCACGTTCTATTGTGGTGAGTTAAGTATCTTTATATTATTAATAAGTATTTGAACAATTGCACATTGGGTAGTATCTTCCTTAAGATCCCAATGTAAGGGTAGGTGTCAGGATCAATCAAAAATAAAAAACAGGAATTGTAATTAAACCACCATTTTTGGGTGTGCCCGAGGCAGTCTGAAGTGAAAGGACAGCGTGAGCAGCTTGAGGGGTGATCAGACATGTCCTGGAAGGGGACAGATCAAGGGTGAATCCACATTGTGGGAGGAGAAACGAAACATTAACAGATGTGGTGATGCAGGGAGGAGATAAAAGATTGTTACTGATTTTAAATGGGATTCTGATCACATCACACTTGACAGATTCCCTCTCACACTGGTCCTGTATCATGATCAGGACAAGTTCCTACCTGGAGAGATCAAATCTCCTGTGATGGAAAAACAACCCCTGGTAAGTTATTTTAAGCTTTTCTCTTTTGGTCTGCAATTAAAGAGAAAAACTTTTGAAAGGCTGGAAGCCTTCCCAAGAACTGGCAGCAGCCTGTCCCATCCTGTACTTGGCAAAGCCCCCTCAGCCACTGTCAGCACACACAGCAGCCCCTGCTCCAGGACACTCAGCAAACCAGCAAGTCCTCCCAGCCTGATGCTCCTGAATCAGGGATCCTGACCTGGGAGTCCTTTCACAGAGCTACCAGGCTGGCAAACAGTCCTAACCTTTGCAGGAAAAAGCCTATAAAATTAAAATAAATGGAGGGCTACTTATTCTCTTTTATGTTTGAATCACTGTTCAACTTTGGGTTGTTTTTAGAAGCTCGGTACTGGCCCTCAAGGAGGGGACAGCAGTGGGTTAACACATTAATATTCCTTCTTGTGACTTATGTTGCTTTATCATTGCCTAGAATATCTTTTAAGCATGTGAGTGTTGGTGTGTCCATACCCTCCTTGGATCAGTTAAATCAGCTGAATTAGTTGGGAGGGTTTTTAAAGGAATGTTCTGTACAAAGTTTTAGGGGTTTTTTCCCATAGCCTTCTTTTTGCTGTGGATACAGGAGTCTCATGTAGAGAACTTTCTAAAATAAAGTGTGAATATTTTTATTACTCCTTTGTACAGTATTCTAAGAGAGACTAATAAAAGTGAAGTATTCAGGTAAAAACTTGTGCTTGAGTCCTGGAATCTTCACATGGATGGCTTTTGCTGTCAAACAAGCATGGCAATGTACCCTGGAGACATGGAATGGCTCGGGTTGGAAGGCACCTTAAGGCTCCAGGGCCATCCCCACCCTCTGCCATGGGCAGGGACACCTTCCACTAGCCCACGTTGCTCCAAGCCCCATCCAGCCCGGCCTTGGACACTCCCGGGGATGGAGCAGCCACAGCTTCTCTGGGTAACCTGTCCTGGGGCCACATCACCCTCACAGAGAGGAATTTCTTGCCAATACCCCCTCCTGGGTTCATTTCTCCATCTGTCAAAGAGGAGCAACATTATGTGGCTTGATAACATTGGAGCATGGAAGGATGGAATGGTTTTGTCTGAAGGGACCTTAAAGCCATCCAGTCCCACCTGCTGCCAGGGGCAGGGACACCTTCCTGTCCAGTTTGATGTTGGACACTTCAGGCGTGGCCTTACATCTCCTGCATCTGTAGAATTTCAAGTTATCTACAGCCCCTATCACAGAATCTGCTCAAGGAAGACTTACACAAGCAATGGCCATTTTGAAGAAATGGAGCACTGGGGAGGAGGATGGTAAATTGCTCCAGCTGGGAATAACTCTGGGGAATAATAACTCAGGTGTGAACAGCCAGGGAACCACCTGCATGGATCAGATCTAACATTGCTCCTGCCCAGGTGTTGCTTCTGGGAGCCTACGGTTAGCAAGAAAAATCAATTTACTCTTTGCTCTGTGTTTGTGGGGTTGCCAGCTTCCTGGGCAACTCACGGCTCCCGTACTTAGCAAACACTTCCACACCTTTGGCAGAGAGCCAGAGACCTTGTCCCCAGTCCTGCTGCTCTCCAGAGGCCACATCACCTCAGCAGCCCCACGGTCTGCCCTGCACGCCCACCACCCCACAAACAGGCAAGTGCATTATCCCAGGGCTTTGGGCAGGGGAGAGGGTTGGTGGGAGCTCTCTCTGTAAGTGCTCTTGTTTAGTTTTTCTTCTCTTCTTCGACAGTTCCAAGGGAAAGAGCTCGAAAGCGCTACTAACACTGAGCACGCAAAGCTATTTGTCTTTGGAATGGTTTAAACTCACAGAGAGCAGGGTTAGATGGGATATTGGGAAGAAATCCCTCTGTGTGGTGGTCAGGCACTGGCACACTGGCCCACATCCCTGGAAGTGTCCAAGGCCAGGGCTTGGAGCAATCTGGGATAGTGGAAGGTGTCCCTGACCGTGTTAGGGAGAGGAATGGGATGAGCTTTAAGGTCTCTTCCCATCCAAACCGTTCTGGATTGTTCAATTTCTTCTCTCCAGCTCTTTCCCGTAAAACATCAGAAAAGTGAAACTGAAACTTTTTCATGAAAAGAAGTTGTGTCAGAAAGGAAAAAGGGATTTCTTTCTGGCCCTCAAACACCAGCTCTCCCCTGCCAACCACCAGGGCTTGCCCAATAAGGCTGGGCTGATTTCTGTTTTGGGGGACATTTTCCTTTAATATCAGCATCCTCAGGGTGTGCCCGCTGTGCTCTCTCTGCACAATCACTGGGGTTCAGCAGCAAAGGCAAATGAGGCCAAACAACCCACAGATCCTGCTGCTTCCTCTCCAAAAGCTCCCTGTAACAACCCTGTGAAACTTGTGTCCCTGGGTAATACCAGTCATTATTTTGAAAGCTTCTTCATAATTAAAGAAATACTTTGTTACAATGTCCTGTTTAACCTCCACCAGGGGAAGTTTAGCTTGGACATCAGGAAAAAATTCTTCACTGAAAGAGTGATTGGCCACTGGAATCATCTGCCCAGAGAGGCAGTTGAGTAATCATCCCTGGACGTGTTTAAGAAAAGAGTGGAGGTGGCACTCAGCACCATGATTTAGTGAGGAAATCTTAAGGTCATAGGCTTGACTAGATGATCTCAAAGGTCTTTTCCAGACTAGATCATTCTGTGATTCTGTGCTGTTATTTCAAGTCATTTGGCTTAGCTTGTGTTCCCTCTTTCCCAAGGCACAAATCCCCTTGGCTTTGCTTCAAAACCTCAGCCACAGCCAGAATGTTTAAAAAACTCAACAAATGCATTGTAAATCAAATGGATCCATGCAAACAATTGGATCCTGTTGAGAGCATCACAGACAATGAGCACTTCAGGCCTCTCTGTCTACTGATTAAAAAAAGAAAATCAACCCGCATATTCCACCGAGCTCCCTACTACCAGCCGACAGGATTCACACTGGATGATGTGCTGCTGCCTGGAGAAGATGGTAAAAGCACAGGTGAACCCCAAATTTATCAATAGGAATTTATCAAATACCATAGATAATGGTTTTGAACCATTTGTGGCTGAACTGTACCAAGTTCCAGCTTTCCTCTGTGTGTCATATACTTACATATGTCATAGACTGAGTCTGTGTAATCCTGCTTAAGATAATGTATGGAATTATTTCAGAGTCCATCTATCAAGAATCCAGCCAATTTACTCTCACAAAAGTCAACACTGATGAAGTTGATGGATTTCTCAAGATTTCTTTTGACCCTGCAAGTGTAGAGATTAAAGGAGGTGCTTCCTTGTCCAAAGGGTTTTCTATCAAGCCACAGAAGAAGAATGTACCACTGCAATCACTGGAGGCACTGAGAAGAGAAAGGTAAGGAATGACAAAGGAAGCACACACATTCCAGTCATCTCCCTCCAGCCCATGCCAGGTTAAGAACCAATTTTCAATAGCCAAAAACCAAAATCCAGGCTATGGAAAACCAATATATTCCACCAGTTCTGTTAGCTGCTCCTGGTGCTCCAAACCCTTCCCATCCTTTTCCTCTTTCAGGCAAATCAACATGGATCATTCCTTCATCAAACAGCTACAGAGAACAGGCATCAAGCTGTACGTGGTCACTGAAATCCTCGAGGCCTCAGAGGAGGCTGTCTACAAGGAATCCACCAAGGCAGACGGGGGCTTCATGGCCAAATTTTATGCCACACTCTGTGCACAGGTCTGGCTTCTCCCTCCTTGCTTCCCCAACACCTGCACCCAGCTGTTCTAACTGGTTGTTTTCCTTCACCAGGGCACCAGAGAGAACAACCAAGGCATAGTGATACCCAAGGGCTGCACGCTGGCCTTCAGGACCATCCCACTACACATTAGAGATGGAGAATGGGGTAAGCAACTTCCAGAAATGACCAGTTTCTGCCTTCTAGAAATGGTGCACAAAAGGAAGAACATTTTATGAAGAATCACCCGGCCCCAGATACACCCTAAACTGGTTTGCAAGGAAAGGGAGACAGTGTGAGGGACAGAAATCACCTGAGGGAGGCCACACAGCCCATGCAATGTCAAAGAACTAAAGAAAGATGATGTTTGGGCAGGGATCAGTAAAAAATAGAAAGAAGGAAGTCTCAGATCTACTTTTCAGGAGCTGCAAAGCTCCTGGTGATAAATAGCACAGAGAGCAGAGTTTGGGTCTGAAAATTTCTACTCATAAGAAAAGAGCGAGGGAGAAAACAGGATGGGTAACCACCACTGGGGAGGCTGGCATAGAAAACCATAAATGTCCTTTTTATCCTGCTACAGATCTGGATTATATCAAAGGGGGAGCTATGAGCAATCAAGGTCATGGAGCTGTGGAAATTCAAGCTTATGTAGATGATGGTAAGGACTGTATTTTACTGCACAACATTTGGCTGCTTTGGGTAAGATGGAATCTCCCAGCATTAAACCACCAGGAGAGATGCATTTGCCTCTCCCCTGAGACATCACAACTGCCCAAATTCTATATCACTTCAGAAACACGCATACAAGTGTTTCAAACTTAGGGTTTAGCGCTGCCACCGAACTCCTAGAACTCAAGTGACAAATTTGAACTCATTCTGGTTTGCAGGTCCCTCAACAGGAAAATTAGAAGAAGTGAGGATAGAAGTTCGATATTCCTGCCAAATTTTCCCCGAGCTGTCTCCTGACCTGCAGCTCATCATCTTAAACACCATCACAGCTGTGATGAGAGACAAGAACCTCCTTCAAGAGCTCAGCCACAAAGTAAGTGAAGCTTTTCTTACTGCCACCATTTATAAATACAGATACATCCAGGACCACACCTCCTGTCCCTTCCCATCCTCTTCACTCTTTCCCATCCTGCTCACCAGTCCCAGCCCACCACCTTGCTTGGTGCAAGGTTTTGGATCCAAATCCTGTTTATTTCTGCAGAGTTAACAGAATATCAGCTGCTGCTGCTGCTGGAATCCTTGGAAAGGAAGATTGTGTCCCAACAGCTGAACCTGGTGAGAACACAAATCACACTTGGCTCCTTTCTAGAGGGCTCAGACTATTGTAATTCTAGCAAAATCTCTATAGTGATGTCACAAGTTGACTACTGATTAAAATCATGATTTTGCTTTTTTTGTTGTCATTTAAAGGTTGCAAACCTACTGAAACATGACCTGGAAGATCAGATGCGGCATTTCCATGTGGATGCCAGGCTGCTCTCGTTCCCTTACAAGGAGGAACAGATGTTAACCATTGCCCTGGTGGAGCTGAGTGGCATCCAGCTCCAGGAAGATGGATCAGCTGTCCCTAGGGATGAACCCTTTGAGGCTGTGGCAGCCCTGTTTGTGGCCTTGTATGCCCTCAACCTCCTGAGCGGTTCCAAGTAGGATGTACCTGGCCCTGCCCAGGGAACCCCTCCACAAAATGTTGGCAAAACTCTGCTGACAAGAGTTTTCCCTCCCACTATCACCCTTGTTAATGCTCAAGGCTGCTTTGGCTGGCAAAAGCAAATTTAAGGCTGGAAAATTCATTATAGATGCTAAAGGCTGGATATCAAAGTAGATCTGTCTGTCTCCCCAAGAATATTAAGTGAAAACAGGAAAATCCACAATCCCAAAGAATCACAGTCCTGGCACCGGTGCTTCGTGTAATCCTGCTTCCCTCAAAATGCTGCTGCTGCTGCTTCTGCAATCAGTAAATGGGAAAGGGAAGGCAAAGGAATGGGAAGGGAATGCAGAGGGGAAAGGGGAGGTGCAAGGAAAAAGGGGAAGAACATACAAAGGCAAAAATGAAATGCAAAGGGAAAAGGAAGGAAATGAAAATAAAACAAAAGCCAAAGGAAAATATCAGTAGAGATTCACCCTGCTCCCTCTCTGGTTCAGTGGGGGCTCCATTAACTACTGGTTGTAGGAAGGTGGGGAAATCCCAGAGGTTTCACTCTCACCTCTCCAGTCCCATCTCCCTGAGACACTCAAGAGCCATGGGCAGCACTTCAGGGAGATGGCACAAATATTCCCATTATCACTTTATAAATAAAGAGCAGCTTCTTGCTAAGCAATTCTGTGGTCTCAAAGGCTATTTCTTAATTTTGTGTCTTTTCCATCCCATGGCACACCTGACAACCTCAGGACTGAAGCTGTACTAGAAATAAGGGTCCTTGACGTGGACACAGCAGTCTCCTGTAGAGAATTTTCTAAAAGAAAGCGTGAATATTTTCATTACTCCTTTGTACAGTATTCTAAGAGAGACTAATAAAAGTGAAGTATTCAGGTAAAAACTTGTGCTTGAGTCCTGGAATCTTCACATGGATGGCTTTTGCTGTCAAACAAGCATGGCAATGTACCCTGGAGACATGGAATGGCTCGGGTTGGAAGGCACCTTAAGGCTCCAGGGCCATCCCCACCCTCTGCCATGGGCAGGGACACCTTCCACTAGCCCACGTTGCTCCAAGCCCCATCCAGCCCGGCCTTGGACACTCCCGGGGATGGAGCAGCCACAGCTTACCTTGCACCAAACAAGCATTTCCTATAGGAAATGATCCCCCTTCCCATCCTCTTCACTCTTTCCCATCCTGCTCACCAGTCCCAGCCCACCACCTTGCTTGGTGCAAGGTTTTGGATCCAAATCCTGTTTATTTCTGCAGAGTTAACAGAATATCAGCTGCTGCTGCTGCTGGAATCCTTGGAAAGGAAGATTGTGTCCCAACAGCTGAACCTGGTGAGAACACAAATCACACTTGGCTCCTTTCTAGAGGGCTCAGACTATTGTAATTCTAGCAAAATCTCTATAGTGATGTCACAAGTTGACTACTGATTAAAATCATGATTTTGCTTTTTTTGTTGTCATTTAAAGGTTGCAAACCTACTGAAACATGACCTGGAAGATCAGATGCGGCATTTCCATGTGGATGCCAGGCTGCTCTCGTTCCCTTACAAGGAGGAACAGATGTTAACCATTGCCCTGGTGGAGCTGAGTGGCATCCAGCTCCAGGAAGATGGATCAGCTGTCCCTAGGGATGAACCCTTTGAGGCTGTGGCAGCCCTGTTTGTGGCCTTGTATGCCCTCAACCTCCTGAGCGGTTCCAAGTAGGATGTACCTGGCCCTGCCCAGGGAACCCCTCCACAAAATGTTGGCAAAACTCTGCTGACAAGAGTTTTCCCTCCCACTATCACCCTTGTTAATGCTCAAGGCTGCTTTGGCTGGCAAAAGCAAATTTAAGGCTGGAAAATTCATTATAGATGCTAAAGGCTGGATATCAAAGTAGATCTGTCTGTCTCCCCAAGAATATTAAGTGAAAACAGGAAAATCCACAATCCCAAAGAATCACAGTCCTGGCACCGGTGCTTCGTGTAATCCTGCTTCCCTCAAAATGCTGCTGCTGCTGCTTCTGCAATCAGTAAATGGGAAAGGGAAGGCAAAGGAATGGGAAGGGAATGCAGAGGGGAAAGGGGAGGTGCAAGGAAAAAGGGGAAGAACATACAAAGGCAAAAATGAAATGCAAAGGGAAAAGGAAGGAAATGAAAATAAAACAAAAGCCAAAGGAAAGTATCAGCAGAGATTCACCCTGCTCCCTCTCTGGTTCAGTGGGGGCTCCATTAACTACTGGTTGTAGGAAGGTGGGGAAATCCCAGAGGTTTCACTCTCACCTCTCCAGTCCCATCTCCCTGAGACACTCAAGAGTCATGGGCAGCACTTCAGGGAGATGGCACAAATATTCCCATTATCACTTTATAAATAAAGAGCAGCTTCTTGCTAAGCAATTCTGTGGTCTCAAAGGCTATTTCTTAATTTTGTGTCTTTTCCATCCCATGGCACACCTGACAACCTCAGGACTGAAGCTGTACTAGAAATAAGGGTCCTTGACGTGGACACAGCAGTCTCCTGTAGAGAATTTTCTAAAAGAAAGCGTGAATATTTTCATTACTCCTTTGTACAGTATTCTAAGAGAGACTAATAAAAGTGAAGTATTCAGGTAAAAACTTGTGCTTGAGTCCTGGAACCTTCACATGGATGGCTTTTGCTGTCAAACAAGCATGGCAATGTACCCTGGAGACATGGAATGGCTCGGGTTGGAAGGCACCTTAAGGCTCCAGGGCCATCCCCACCCTCTGCCATGGGCAGGGACACCTTCCACTAGCCCACGTTGCTCCAAGCCCCATCCAGCCCGGCCTTGGACACTCCCGGGGATGGAGCAGCCACAGCTTCTCTGGGTAACCTGTCCTGGGGCCACATCACCCTCACAGAGAGGAATTTCTTGCCAATACCCCCTCCTGGGTTCATTTCTCCATCTGTCAAAGAACAGCAACATTACCTGGCTCAATAAAGTTGAATCATGCAATGATGCAATGGTTTGGCTTGAAGGGACCTTAAAGCCATCCAATCCCACCTGCTGCCAGGGGCAGGGACACCTTCCTGTCCAGTCTGGTCTGGGACACTTCCAGTGGATTTACATCTCCTACATCTGTACACGTTCCAGTAATCCACAGCCCCTGTAACAGACTCTGCTCAGTGAGTAAAAAGGAAGTTACATAAGCAACGGCCGATTTGTGGAAGCGGAACACCGGCGATGAAGACGTAAAATTGCTGAAGTGACCTCACAGCTGGGAACAGCTCCTGGTAAGCTGCAGGGTACAGCCAGGGGTATTCCAGCACAGATCGGGTCTAACGCTGCCCCTGCCCAGGTGCTGCTTCACGGAGCCCCCGTTAGCAAGGTAAGAGATATCAATTTACTCTTTGCTCTGGAGTTGTGGTGGTGCGAGCTTCCTGTGCGATTCACAGCTCCTGTGTTTCATAAACACTTCCACACTCTGAGCAGAAAGGAAGCCAGAGATTTTCTCCCCAGTCCTGCTGCTCTCCAGAGGCCACATCACCTCAGCAGCCCCACGGTCTGCCCTGCACGCCCACCACCCCACAAACAGGCAAGTGCATTATCCCAGGGCTTTGGGTAGCAGAGATGATTGGTGGCAGCTCTATGGTAAGTGCTCTTGTTTAGTTTTTCTTCTCTTCTTGGAGACCTTCAAGGGAAAGATCTTGGAAGTGCTACTAACATTGAGCACCCAAAGCTATTTGTCTTTGGAATTATTTAAATTCAAAGAAAGCAGGGTTAGTTGGGATATTGGGAAGAAATCCCTCTGAGGATGCTGAGGCCCCAGAACGGTGCCCAGATAAGTTATGGCTGTCCCATCCATGGAAGTGTCTATAACCAGGTTGGACAGGGCTTGGAGCAGCCTGGGAGACTGGAAGGTGTACCTGACCTTGGCAGGGAGAGGAATGGGAGGAGCCTTAAGGTCCCTTCCCATCAAAACCAGTCTGGATTGCCCAATTTCCCCTCACCAGCTCCTTCCCATAAAACACCAGAAAGTTGAAACTGAATCTTTTGATAAAAACAAGCTGTCTCAGAAAAGAAACACAGATTTCTTTCTGGCCCTCAAACACCAGCTCTCCCCTGCAGACCACCAAGGCCTGCCCAGTGAGGCTGGGCTGGGGAGATGCCTCTCTATTGTGGGGGACATTTGTCTCTAAAATCAGCATCCTGAGGGTCTGCCAGCTGTGCTCTCTCAGCACAATCACTGAGCCGCAACAGCAAAGGGGGACAAGGCCAAACAAGCCACAGCTCCTGCTGCTTCCTCTTAAAAGACTCCCTGGAACAACCCTGTGAAACTTGTGTTCTTGGACAGGGAGGGGGGTTTTGAGTCATTATTTTGAAATCTTCTTAACCATTAAAGTCATGCTTTGTTACAATGTCCTCCTATTATTTCAAGTAATTCAGCTTAGCTTGTGTTCCCTCTTTCCCAAGGCACAAATCCCCTTGGCTTTGCTTCAAAACCTCAGCCACAGCCAGAATGTTTAAAAAACTCACCAAATTCATTGTAAATCAAATGGATCCTTGCAAAGAATTGGTCCCTGTCGAAAGCATCGCAGACAATGAGCACTTCAGGCCTCTCTATCTACTGAAAAAAAAAAGCAAACCAAAAACTGTATTTCACCAAGCTCCCTACTACCAGCAGACAGGATTCACACTGGATGATGTGCTGCTGCCTGGAGAAGATGGTAAAAGCATAGGTAATCCTCAAATTTATCAACAGGAATTTCTCAAATAAGATAGATAATGGTTTTTAACTGTTTGTGGCTGAACTCTACCAAGTTCCAGCTTTCTTGTGCATGATATACTTATAGTGCTGAGTCTGTGTAGTGCTGCTTAAGATAATGTATGGAATTTTTTCAGAGTCCCTCCATCAAGAATCCAGCCAATTTACCCTCACAAAAGTCAGCACTGACCAAGCTGATGGAGGTCTCAGCATTTCATTTGACCCTACAAATGTAGAGCTGAAAGGAAAGGCCTCCTTGTCCAAAGAGTTTTCTATTATGCCACAGAAGAAGAGCATATCACTGGAATCACTGGAGGCACTGAGAAGAGAAAGGTAAGGAATGACAAAGGAAGCACACACATTCCAGTCATCTCCTTCCAGCACACACCAGGTTAACAATGGGTTTTCAACTGCCAAAAACCAAGATTAAAACCTTAGGGCATGAACTTCCTCTAACTAGGCCAGGTTAGACAGGAAATGGAGTGACAAGTTCTCCATGAGCCTCCTCTTCTACAGGCTTATCCCCCCCAGATGCCTCAGCTGCTCCTGGTGCTCCAAACCCTTCCCATCCTTTTCCTCTTTCAGGCAAATCAACATGGATCATTCTTTCATCCAACAGCTACAGAGAACAGGCATCAAGCTGTACGTGGTCACTGAAATCCTCGAGGCCTCAGAGGAGGCTGTCTACAAGGAATCCACCAAGGCAGACGGGGGCTTCATGGCCAAATTTTATGCCACACTCTGTGCACAGGTCTGGCTTCTCCCTCCTTGCTTCCACAACACCTGCACACAGGTGCTCTGACTGGTTGTTTTCTTTATGCAGAGCAACAGAGAGGACAGACAAAGCATAGTGATACCCAAGGGCTGCACGCTGGCCTTCAGGACCATCCCACTACACATTAGAGATGGAGCATGGGGTAAGCAACTTGCAGAAATTATCAAGTTCTCCATTCCAGAAGAGGAAGAACATTTTATGAAGCACCACTTGCCCTCAGAGCTATCTTCAGCTTGTCTGCAGATAGGAGGAGGCAGTGTGAGAGACAGAAATCACCTGGGGGAGGTCAGATAACCCATGAAAGTTCAAAGATGCTCTTTGGGGAGGGGTCAGTAAAGAAAGGAAAGAAGGAAGCCTCAGATCTACTTTTCAGGAGCTGCAGAGCTCCTGGTGATAAATGGCACAGAGAGCAGAACTTTGGTGTTTCTTTTCCTTTCCTACTCAGAAGAGGCAGAATTTTCCCCGAGCTGTCTCCTGACCTGCAGCTCATCATCTTAAACACCATCACAGCTGTGATGAGAGACAAGAACCTCCTTCAAGAGCTCAACCACAAAGTAAGTGAAGCTTTTCTTACTGCCACCATTTATAAATACAGATACATCCAGGACCACACCTCCTGTCCCACAAGTCACCTGCCCTGTGACACAACCATCCATCCAAAATTCCCTCTCTCAGTACATCTCCCTGCTCAGGACAAGCAGCAGCCTCTGCCCTCAAATCCTGACATTTCTTTTCCTTGCTCCCCACAGATGGAAGAACTTTCTGAGCAAAATGATGGTTATCAGCTGGAAACTGAGAGCCCAGACTTAAAGGAACTGTTCAGCACCTTGCAGCATTCCCCAAGAGATCATCTCCTTCAGCTGGCAGAAGGAATCACCTACATCCTTGATGCTTTGCATGGGGAGGCTTTGGGGCTTCAAGAGGGAAATCAAGGCAGGGATGACTCTCACTCCTGCCATTCCCTCCTGCCTTCCTCTCATACTCCTCCTCAAGTGGAATCTACATCCAAGTTCCATGGAGGGGAGAGGAGAGAAACCCCCTCTGCACCCATCCAGGGCTCCCTGCTCCCTCAAAGTCTGGTCACAGCTTCCTCCCTAGGGCCAGCCCAGATCTCTGCTCTGGTGACCAGCAACAGGACCCAAGCAAATGGCTGCAGCTGTGTCTGGCACAGTTGGGTTGGATAGCAGGGAAAGGTTCTTATCCCAGAGGGTGCTCAGGCACTGAACAGACTCCCCAGGGAATGGTCACAGCCCCAAGGCTGGCACAGCTCCAGGAGTGGCTGGACAGCACTCTCAGCACACAGTGGGACTGTTGGGGTGTCCAGGGCAGAGACAGGAGTTGGACATCAATTATCCTTGTAGCTCCCTTCCAACTCCATATTCCATGATTCTCTGAGTAACAGCCAGGTCACTCTCACAGTCAGCCTGCACAAATAATCTCCATTAAAACATCCCAAGGACCTTGCACCAAACAAGCATTTCCTATAGGAAATGATCCCCCTTCCCATCCTCTTCACTCTTTCCCATCCTGCTCACCAGTCCCAGCCCACCAGCAACCCCAATCAACTTGGTGAGAGGTTTTGGATCCAAACCCAGTTTATTCCTGCAGAGTTAACGGAGGATCAGCTGCTGCTGCTGCTGGAATCCTTGGAAAGGAAGATTGTGTCCCAACAGCTGAACCTGGTGAGAACACAAATCACACTTGGCTCCTTTCAAGGGGAGGTGGGGGCTTTGTTAATTCTAGCAACATCTCCATAATGATGTCACAAGCTGACAACTGATTGAAATTCTGATTTTGCTTTTTTTGTTGTTGCTGTGAAGGTTGAAAACCTCCTGAAACATGACCTGGATAAGGGGAAGGAGCCTTTCCTTGTGGATACCAGGGTGCTCTTCCCACAGGAGGAGGAACAGAGGTTAACCATTGCCCTGGTGGAGCTGAGTGGAGTGCAGCTCCAGGAAGATGGATCAGTTATCCCTAGGGATAAACCCTTCGAGGCCATGGCAGCCCTGTTTGTGGCCCTGTACACCCTTAACTTCCTGAGTGGTTCCAGGTAGGATGTACCCGGCCCTGCCCAGGGAACCCCTCTACAAAGTTGTGTGAAATCTCCGCCGACAAGAGTTTTCTCTCCCAATATCATCCTTGTTAATAATCAAGGCTGATTTGGCTGGCAAAATGAAATTTAAGGCAGGAAAGTTCATTATGGTACTAAAGGTTGGATATCAAAGTGGATTTGTTTCACTGGCACCTCCCTGGTCCCAGCACTGCCATCATCCCTGAGATGTTCAATGGACACATGCAGCACTTTACAGCAAGCATACTCTCATTATCACTCTGTAAGAGGACCTTCTTGCTACACAATTGGGTGTTCTCAAGTCAATTTCTTAATTTTGTGTAGTTTTGGTTACACATCACATCTGACAAGCTCGGGATGCTATATGAAAAATACAGGCACTTAGCCCTGGGGGGAAGTCGGGGGGTTCCTCAGGCTGTGGAGCTCTGGGAGGGTCTCTGGAGGCCATGGGTGCCTGCAGCAAGGGACAGCACTGCTCACCTGTGTGGGGACTGATGGCTCTGGACGACCTCCAGCAGCAGGGGCCAGGCTCTGCCTTGCAACAACTTCGAGGGGAGCCCAGCTTCAACCTGGAACCATCATGAGACCTTTTGGTCCCAGTCCCAGACCAGACCCCTCACCCCAGTTTCAACCTGGCCCCTCATGGGACTCCTGCTCCCAGCCCCAGCTCCCCTCCTCACTCACGGGATTCCCGATCCCAGACCAGCCCTTCACAGGATCCCCAAGCCCACAAGGGACCCTTTGCGGGGTCCCCGGTCCCAGCCCGACCCCACATGGACCTCAAGGGACCCCTCACAGAATCCCCTATCTCTGTCCGGCGCCACACGGGCCCCTTCACAGAATCCCCGGTCCCAGCACGTTCCCTTACGGGACCCCTCACAGAATCTCCGGTCCCAGCACGTTCCCTTACGGGACCCCTCACAGAATCTCCGGTCCCAGCACGTTCCCTTACGGGACCCCTCACAGAATCCCCGGTCCCAGCGCGGCCCCTCAAGGGATCCTTCACGGCGCCCCCCGTCACAGACAAGCTCCTCACGGGACTCTTCATGGGATCCCCGACCTGGTCCCAGCGCGGCCCCTCACGGCATCCCTCACAGAATCCCCGGTCCGGTCCGGCCCCTCACGGGACCCTTCATGGGATCCCCTGTCAGACAAGCCCCTCACGGGACCCCCAACCTGGTCCCAGCGCGGTCCCTCACGGAACCCTTCACGGAATCTCCGACCTGATCCCAGCCCGGTCCCTCACGGGAGCCTTCACGGGATCACCCCTCACAGACAAGCCCCTCACGGGAGCCTTCACGGGATCACCCCTCACAGACAAGCCCCTCACGGAACCCTTCACGGGATCCCCCCTCACGGGATCCCCCCTCACGGGACCTCAGTGAAGACTCGCCCGCGCCCCCAAAAGGCGGGAACAGCTCAGCACCTGGCGGAAACACCCGAAAGTTCTACGGAGATTCCCGAAGGAGAGAGGCGAAAGGAGCCGACCGATGCCGGAACCTTCCGAGAGGGCTCGGCCAAAACGCCCGAAAATGCGGACGAAAACCTACGAGCGAAGACGGAAATACCCGAGAGCCTCACGGAACTCCACGAGCGGGCGCGACGGAACTCCACGAGCGCTGCCTGAGCTACCCGAAAGCGCGACGGAACAACCCGAGCGACGGCGGAAACGGCCGAGCGAAAGGCGGAAGGAGACGATCGTGTGTCGCTCGTCGCTCGGCTGGTCGCGCCTGGCGGCCCGTTGTGCAGTGTCACGCCATGAAGCAGGACGGCGCGTCCCGCCGCCGCGGCGACAAGGCCAAGGCACCCCCGGAGGGACCCCCGCCCGCCCCCCCCGACGTCGAGATGCACGAGGAGGCGGCGCCGGTGGCTCCCGAGGCGGCCGGAGAGCGGCAGCCGCAGCGGGAGCTGGACGCGATCACGCTGGAGGGTGAAGGGTGGGGGTACCTGAGGGGGGCTGGGAAAGGGGCTGGGAAGGTGTTGGAGGAGGGGAATGGGGGGATCAGTGAGGGGGCTCTGAGGGAAAGAGAAATGTGAGTGTAGTGTAGGGGGACACTCTGGGGAAGGGGAGATGGGGGGCACCTTGTGGGGAAGGGAGAGGGCAGGTGTGTTTGGGGGGTGTCGCTGTGGGGAAAGGGATTTAGGGAAGGAAAGGGAGGCGGGAGCTGTGTTTTGTGTGCGGGAGACACTCTGGAGGAGGGTGTTTGGGGCAGTGTGTGAGGGAGAGGAAGGGTGAGGTTGGTTTAGGGCAGTCACTGAAGAGTGGGGGATGGAATTGTGTTTGGGGCGATCACTGTAGAAGGGAATTGGGGCAGCTCGGTGAGGGTGTCCCCCTCTGCGGGGGGACAGACTGTGAGGGACAGGGGGGCTGCTGTGGTGGGACCCCGTGGGGGTGAGGAGGGAGAAAACTCTGCAAGGGCCTCCCCAGCCCCCTGCTCCAAACAGCGAGGGCAGGTGGGGTCACTGCGGGCACCAAGGGCAGAGGGAGCTGAGAACAGCAGGACGGGGTGAGGGCACAGCCCTGGCTGTGCTCAGGGGTGCTGCTGGCCCCGGATTTAGGGTGAGGGGTGTCCCTGTGCCCCCACAGACATCAAGGAGCACGTGAAGCAGCTGGAGAAGGCGGTGTCAGGGAAGGAGCCCCGCTATGTCCTGAGAGCACTGCGGGCTCTGCCCTCCACCTCCCGCCGCCTCAACCCCAACGTGCTGCACAAGGCCATCCACGGCTTCTTCACCTCCAACTGCACTGTCAGGGACTTCCTGCTGGGATTCCTGGAGGAGGTAGGGAAACCTGCTGCCCTCACCTCTGCCCTGCTCTGGTGACACCCCCCAGCAGAGCTGCCCTGTGGTAGCAGCTCTCTGGCCACAGAGAGCAACCAACGACTTCCCCAGGCATTTTCCTGGGAAAGGTGTGAGAAGATCAGAGAAAAGAATTGTTTCTCATTCTTACCTCCACTTGTTGCACCTGTTGTAGAATGTGTTATGGAGGTTGTTTACCAAAGGGTGATTTCTTGATTAGACACTGGTGATGGTGTTTAAAGAGACTGACCAGTTAAGTCTTTAAAGGTGATGAGCTTCTTAATAAGCATAGTATAATATAGTAGAATAAAACAATTGATCAGCCCTCTGCAATCACAGAGTCAATGCTAATTATTACCCAGCTGGGAGCCTGCAACAACACTGCCCCAGCTCAGGGGTCCCAGCACAGGAAGGATGTGGAGGTGTAGGAGTGAATCCAGGGGATAATCAAAGGGATGGAGCAGCTCAGCTGTGAGGAAGGACAGGGAGAACTGGGATTGTTCAGCCTGAAGAAGAGAAGGTTTAGGGGTGACCTAATTGTGGCCTCCCAGTATCTGAAGAAGCAACAGGAAGGATGGAGAGGGACTGTTTACAAGGGCTTGGAGTGACAGGACAAGGGGAATGGCTTTCCACTGACAGAGGGTGGGATTAGATGGGATACTGGCCAGAAATTCTTCCCTGTGAGGGCAGTGAAGCACCAGAATGGATTTCCCAGGAAAGTTGTGGCTGCCCCATCCCTGGAAGTGTCCATGGCTGTGTTGGACAAGGCTTGGAGCAGCCTGGTTTAGTGGAACGTGTCCCTACCCATGGCAGGGTAGGGGTGGATTTGAAGGCTCCTCCAACCCAAAAAAGCCTGGAATTCCATGATCCTTTCCCTCTCCAGAGAGCCTCTGGAGTAGTGCAGTGGGGTTTGGGGACACTGGGGACAAGCAGCCCCTCTTCTCAGCCACACATGTGAGCAGGGACAGGTCCCTGCAGTCCTGGGCTGGCTCCTGTCACACCTGGAGCAGAGCTGTCTCCACACGGGGACAATGATCCCGAATTTCTCTCTCCCCTCAGTCCATGGACACAGAAGCTGAGCTGCAGTTCCGCCCACGGACGGGGAAAGCAGCCTCAGCCCCTCTCCTGCCAGAGGTGGAGGCCTACCTGCAGCTGCTGCTCGTCATCTACCTGATGAACAGCAAGAGGTACCCCGAGGTGAGACCCCTGAGCTGCTCCCCTGGCTCTGCCCCGTGCTGTGCCCTCGCCCCAGCAGTGTGTGGTTGTTCCCCACATCGCGGGTGGTCTGTGCCCCTCCTGGGATCAATCCCCCTGCTCTGAGCTCCCTTGCTGTCCCTCAGGCTCAGAAGGTGTCCGATGACCTGATGCAGAAGATCAGCTCCCAGAACCGCCGGGCCCTGGACCTGGTGGTGGCCAAGTGCTACTATTACCACTCCCGCATCTACGAATTCCTCAACAAACTCGACGTGGTCCGGAGGTGGGATGGGTCCTGTGGGGGGCTGTCCCTGAGTTTGATCCCCTCCCTGTTTTCCTCCCTCTTCCCTGACTCCCTGTCCCACCCCGCAGCTTCCTGCACGCCCGGCTCCGCACGGCCACGCTGCGCCACGACGCCGACGGCCAGGCCACGCTCCTGAACCTGCTCCTGAGGAATTACCTCCACTACAACCTCTACGACCAGGCCGAGAAACTCGTCTCCAAATCCGTGTTCCCCGAGCAGGCCAACAACAACGAGTGGGCTCGGTACCTGTACTACACAGGTGAGCGAGGCTCGGTGCCTGCCCTGCCTCCTGGCACCTCCGGATCCTCAGAGAACCCCTTTGATCAGCTGGAGGTGGGGCTTCCAGGCAGGATTTGGAGCCCCATCCGTGTAGGTCAGGTTGGATTCACTGGGTGGCTTTCCCCACCCGCCCCGTGTGGGCGCAGGGCGGATCAAGGCCATCCAGCTGGAGTACTCTGAGGCACGGCGCACCATGACCAACGCCCTGCGCAAGGCCCCGCAGCACACGGCCGTGGGCTTCAAGCAGACGGTGAGTGAGGAGGGGGCAGGACCCCCCTGGCTTGGGTCTGAGACCCCTCGGGGTTGGCATCTCACAGGGCTTGGATGTGGGAGCTTCTGGGATGTCAGGCACCATGGAGTTTGGTTTGGGAACTCACAGGTTTGGGACCTTCTGGGATGTCAGGTGCTGTGGAGTTTGGTTTGGCACCTCCCAGGTTTGGGACCTTCTGGGATGTCAGGTGCTGTGGAGTTTGGTTTGGGACCTCCTTGGATGTCCGGCCCCAAAGAGTCAGGTCCCCTGGGATTTGGGACTTCCCAGGGTCAGGTCCAGGACTCCCCAGGGTTGGGCTCCATGGGGATGGTTTTGGGACCTCCCAGGCTTGGCACCTTCCAGGATGAGATCTGGGGCCCCCCAGGGTTGGGCTCCTATTGGGACAGGTTTGGGACCAGGGTGTTGGGCCCTGCAGGGATGACAGGTGCAGGACCTCCTAGGTTTGGAACTTCCCAGGGACAAATCTGTGACCTTCCAGGCCCCACAGGGACAAGAATGGGTTTAGGATCTCCTGGAGTTGTGTGCCCCACGGGGATGGTGCAAGACCTGTTGGAGGGCACAGGGACAGGGATGGTTTCAGGTCTCATGGGAACTCACTCAGAGTCTTGCTCTGCCCCAGGTGCACAAGCTGCTCATCGTGGTGGAGCTGCTCCTCGGGGAGATCCCAGACAGGCTCCAGTTCCGGCAGCCCTCGCTCAAGCGCTCGCTCATGCCCTACTTCCTGCTGACCCAGGGTATGTGTGCCCACCCCTGCCTGTGCTTCCTGCAGGGTCAGGGGATCATGGAATATCCTGAGTGGGAAGGGACCCAGTGAGAATTCTCTTCTCCCCTTGTTGGGAATTGGGTGCAGATGCCACTTGGGAAGGAGGAGAAGGAGGAAGTCAGCCAGTCCTGACTCGCTTTCCGCAGCCTTTCTCCTTCCCCCATTCCATCCTTCTTCCCTCCAGCCGTCAGGACGGGGAACCTGGCCAAGTTCAACCAAGTCCTTGACCAGTTTGGGGACAAGTTCCAGGCCGATGGCACCTACACCCTGATCATTCGGCTGAGGCACAACGTCATCAAGACAGGTAGGAGGGTGTTTGGGAACCCCCACCAGGCTGGGCAGGCCTGGGGGGCTGCATCCCCTGCCCTTCTCCCTGCAGGTGTCCGCATGATCAGCCTCTCCTACTCCCGCATCTCCCTGGCTGACATCGCCCAGAAGCTGCAGCTGGACAGCCCCGAGGACGCCGAGTTCATCGTTGCCAAGGTACCAGCACAGGGAGTCCCATCCCTGTGGGATCCCAGGGTGCCCACAGCCCCCACCCCGCCCCGTCCCCCCTCACCCCTCCCTGCAGCACCGCTGGGTTTGGGTTGAGGCTCCTGCAGGGACGCTCAGGGCGCCACGTCCCCGCTCTGTGTGAGCCCTTGGGGACACCCCGTGCCCTGCCCCGTGCCCGGGCTCGCAGGCCATCCGGGACGGCGTGATCGAGGCCAGCATCAACCACGAGAAGGGCTACGTGCAGTCCAAGGAGATGATCGACATCTACTCCACGCGGGAGCCCCAGCTGGCATTCCACCAGCGCATCTCCTTCTGCCTCGACATCCACAACATGTCCGTGAAGGTGAGCACAGCGTGTCCCCAGGTCCCTGCTGGGGACAGCAGGGCATGGCTCAGGGCTGGCTCAGCTCTGAGCTCCTCCTCTTCTTTTTCTCCAGGCCATGAGATTCCCACCCAAATCTTACAACAAGGACTTGGAATCTGCAGAGGTGAGATCCCTGCAGCCACCACAGCCACGGGAAGGATGTGGCTCCTGTCCCCACCTGCCACCAACCTCAGCCTTTGCTTTCCAGGAGCGCCGGGAGCGTGAGCAGCAGGACCTGGAGTTTGCCAAGGAGATGGCAGAGGACGATGACGACGGTTTCCCGTGACCCTGGGCCCTGGCTGTACTTTTTTATTTGTCCCTTGGACAGATGGTGGCTGAGCAGGGCCCTCCGTCCCCCCCAGACCCCCTTTTATAAATCCCTGCATGTCTGTACTGTGGGAGGGGACACAGGGGGTTCCCTGGGCCCACACCCCCTGACCACCTGCACTTGTGGTGGGACCCCCTCCCCAATAAACATCCTTAAAAGGATCCCTGTGGTGACATCGGAGCCGATGCCGGGGGGCTGCGAGGGGAGTGGGGCTGGAGGGAGCAGGAGTGGGGTCTCCACTGGTGCCCTCCCAGCTCCCACAACAGCAACGGGGTCAAACTTTGTTAAACTTCAATTATGACTTTTAAAATAAAAGATGGAAAAACACCAGCCTGGGTGGCTCCTGCTGTGGGTTTTTTGGGATGGGGAAGGGGCATGGGGCTGGTTTGAGGTCTCTGCTCTCTCCCTGGGGCTGGGCACCAGAGATGGGACTGGATCTGGTCAGGCCATCCTGGGGGACTGGAGCTTTGTCTCAATGGTGCTGGGAGTGGTCCCAGCAGCTCCAGGATGGTATCCCAGGAGGATTCCATTGGGAAAGGCACAGGACCCCTTTGTGCCCCACCAGCCCTGGGGGTGATGGGGACAGGGGACATGCAGCCACTCCAGGTGGGTCCTATCAGCATCTGGGATGAGTTCTCTGAGAAAATCTGGGAATCTCCCAGCCACGCCCTTGCCGGGATGGCAGCCAGGGCTGCAGGTCAAGAGCGGGGCTGTCCCAGCCCATTCCCGCTCTGGGGGTCTCTGGGGGACACCAGAGAAGCCAAGAGCCCAGCTAGGGGGGCTGGGGCTGGCTCTGGGGACACAGGGACATCCCGGGAGCACTGGTCTGGTGGCAGATGTCAGGAAGGGGCTGAGGGTGCCCGGGTTGGGCCCTGGGAAGAGGAAGGGTGACCACGAGGCCGAAACAGCGGGGTGGGTGCCTGGAACAGGCCCTGGACAGAGCAGCTCCGGCCCCGTGGTGATGGGGGGGGAGGGGGTTTGCTGGGCCACCTCCTTCCCCCACCCCCCAACACCCCCAGTTTCGGATTTGAAACCACTTCCTTCCTTGGAAAGCTGACAGGGCCTTTGGGCACTGATTCAACCCCCCCACGCCCCCAGCACAATTCCTGAAAGCACCATCCTGCTGAGAGGGCAGATCCGCTCTGGGGTGGTCCCGTGGGTGCTCAGACTGAGGGGACCCAGCCCCTCAATGGCTCTTCCTGGCTCCAGGGTGGGGACAGGCACAGCTGGGGGGCTGTTTCTCCCAGAAATCCCATGAACAGTCTCTGCTGCCAAGGTCCTCTCACACACCCGGAGGGCAGAACGTTTGGTGCTGCCAGGTTTGAAAGGAGGTCAGCAGTAGATTTTGGAGTTCACACCTGGCTGTGCCAGGAGGGTTCTGCTTGGTACTCGTGGATTGATGGGGGTTTATTTCCCAGCTGGAGACAGGAACTTCCAGGACTTCCAGCTTCTGGGACTGGTGCTGTGGCTGTACCCCACAAACTGTACCCCACAAACTGTACCCCAAAAACTGCACCCCACAAACTACACTGGGTGTGTGGCATATCCCAGTGCCCACCAACATCTGCAACTTGCAGAGACCACATTCTCTATCCCCATCCTGGTCCACACCGCCTCCAGGAGGGCAGCCATGGGACCCAGCCAGGGTTCAGGGGTGCAGAATGACCCTCTCCATCCCAATGCTGCCCTGGGGTCACCCTGTCTGGGGCTGTGAGGGGGGAGGATGCCTCCCGTGCCCTGGCTGGCCCGTGCCGGGCAGGAACCGGCCAGCTGGCACCCGGCCAGCAGATCCTGGAAGGGCTTGCGGGAACCGACACGAGCCAAAATTCCCTCGTCAACGCAACGGGGCCGGGAGCAGCCAGTCCTGGCTGAGGGCTGCCCTGGAAGTCTGTTCCCCGTAGGGGCAGAGGGGGGGTTTGGCCCCTCGCGGGTGGGGTCAGCCCGGTGTGGCCGGTGCTTGGTGCTGCACGTGGTGACACTGGGCACAACCCGGCCCCACAGCGCCCAGCAGGGCAGGATCGGGCAGGATCGTGCCACAGCCCTGGGCACGTGCCTGGACCAGGTCTCACCTTGGCCACCTCCGGCTGGTGCCACCACCATGAAGGTCACACCTCCAGCACCCACCCTGATGTCTGTGGCAGCTGACAGGGGGTGCTGCCCACGCGGGCTGGGCATGGGGACAACCTCATAGTGACAGCAGCAGCGAGAAGCCACCATCCCCTTGGCCGGTCACCTGCGAGTGACCCTGTGAGTGACCCTGCACATGACCCTGCTGTGCTGGGCACTGGCCCACCTGGCCAGCGTAGTGGGAGCCCTGCGAGCAGGTTAATGAGTCACCAAGGCACCACCTGCCCTGTCCCGGCACCCGCCTCCACGCCTGGGCTCCGCCGGGCGGCCGCAGCCACACCGAGGGGCACCGCTGCCCACCGGCCCCGGGAAAGCCCCGGGCTGTGGCCGCGGCCGAGCACCCGGTTCTCGAGATTTGCATGCTGTGATTAAGGCAGTGAAGCAATCACGCTGTTGCCTCATCGGTGAGAATCCCCGAGGCCCGTGCGCTATAAATGCCACCCGATCAATGAGCACAGCCGGGCAGGAGCGAGAGGAGCCGGGCCGGGCTGGGCAGGGCCGCGCTGCGCAGAGGAGGAGACACCGAGCCGGGCACCCACCATGTGCTTCCTCACCCGTGAGTAGCCAGCACCCATGCAGCTCCCACTGCTCCCATTGCACCCGCTTCCCCTACTGCTCCCAAACCACCCCTAAAACCCACTTTGCCCACAGAACCCTCTGCCCCCACAACCGCAGCACCCACTGCTCGCACTGCCCCCAAACCATCCCTAAAACCCACTATGCCCACAGGACCCACTGCCCCCAGTGCCCGCACTGCACCCGGAGCACCCATAAACCCACCCTACCTGCACCCACACATCCAGAGCCCCCTGCTGCTGCCCTTGGCACCGGCTGGATGCTGGGAGCACTGGTCCCTCTCCCCTTTTGGGGTCTCTGCCCCTTCCCCAGGCCATGCTGCTGCTGCCACCATCCCCAGGGTGGTCCTGGTTGCTGAGCCCATCCCGGCTGAGGGGTCGGGGCTCCGTGGGGTGGACGCTGAGCCGCTGTCCCCACAGGTGGGCTGGCACTGCTGCTGGCTGTGCTGCTGTGGCGGGCGCTGCATGGGGCACCACTGACCGAGCTCTCAGGGGACCAGGACTTCCAGCTCTTCCTGCAGAGGAACCTCGAGTTCACCCGCAAGATCCGTGGGGACGTGGCTGCGCTGCAGCGCGTGGTGGTGAGTCCCTCACGCTGCGGAGGGGGGATGGCAGCCACTGTGAGGTCACAGATAAGGTGACCCCCCTCCCTGCCCTTATCGGCACCGCAGGGCCAGGAGCCAGCAGTGTCCCCTGCACTGCCCAAAGCTCAGCCCCGGGGGGGCACCCATCGGGGACACGTGGTGACCTTCCTGGCTCACCTCCGTCCCTATTACACCGTGTCCACTCCATCCCCTCCCTCCTCCTGGCTGGGCTGCACAGGGTCCCACAGCCCAGGGATGGGATACTGGGGGGTCCTGGTGTGTCAGGGTCCTCTGGTATCCTCACCCTGTCCCTTTTGTCCGCAGTGTGACACCCTCCAGCTGTGCAAGGAGGACGAGCTGCAGCTGGTGCGGCAGGACGTGGACATCGCACAGGCGCCGCTGGAGCAGTGTCACCGCCGCACCTTCCAGGCAGTGAGTGCGGGCAGCCACCCCTGCCATGAGCTGCTCAGCTCTGTCACGGCTCGGGGCACCCCAGAGCCTCCGTGTCTTGGTGGCCAGGCCATGCCCAGCCCCTCTGACCACGCCATGCCCACCACAGGAGACCTGCTTCAGCCAGATCCGAGCCGGGCTCCGCATCTACCACGGCTCCCTGGCCACCCTCCGAGCCCTGCTGCCCGGGCACGCTGGGCTGGTGGAGACCCTGCAGCTGGACATGGCCAACCTGTCCTCCAACATCCAGCAGCAGGTGAGGGGGCAAAGGGGGGACTTTGTGGGGACAGGTGGGTAAAGCAGGTGCTGCTTCCCAAAGGAGGGGTGGGCATGGCGGGGGCTGCATTCACAGGGATGGGTGGGCATGGTGGGGGCTGCATTCACAGGGATGGGTGGGCACGGTGGGGGCTGCATGCCCGGGAAGGGCACACTGGGGCAGGGGGGCATCTCCAGGCCTGGAGCTGATGCCTCTTCCTCTGCCTGGCTGCAGATGGAGGACCTGGGCTTGGCCACGGTGACGTACCCCACAGAGAACCAGGACCCCGTCCCCACCTTCTCCTCCCACTTCCACCACCAAGTGGGCGGCTTCTTCATCCTGGCCAACTTCCAGCGGTTCCTGGAGACGGCGTACCGGGCACTGCGGCACCTCACCAGCCTCTGACCCCTGTTTGTGGATGTCCCACCTGAGGGGCATCCCGGGAGCACCCCATTTCCTGCTTATTTAATATTTATGGCTATTTAATATTTATCTGTCTGGGGATGCTCCCCCGCCCGCGGCCCCGGGCAGGCGCCAGGGGATCCCGCGGAGGATCCGTGCACAGGTACCTGTGCAGCATCACCCTTGTTTAATATTTAAACACAAGCGTATCTCTGCTACGAGGTTCTGGAGCTGGGCTGAGCCCCCACAGCTGCTGCTGGCACTGCCTGTGCCTCAGTTTCCCCATGGCTCGCACTGCTGGGGCTGCTGCATCATCCCATGGGAAAACACCTTCATCCCAGGATGAGGATGCTCCAGAGCAGCATCTCCCTGTCTGGGCTGCAGCCTGCAGGGACACATCTGATGGGTGTTATTTCTAGTAATTAATATTTATTAGCCATTAGGGAGAGAGAGGAGGGAAGATGGAAGAACCATAGGGATACAGCAGCCTCACGAGGATTTTTCGGGGAGCCTCAGCACTTTGGGGAGCTGCATCTCTGCTCTGTCCCCCTTCCCTGCTAAAATCAGAGTACTTATTGCAGTTTAACTTATTTGTGCCTGTCCATGGCCGGAAAGAGCCACTTGGACACATTCCCATCCTCCTGAGCCTGACGCAGCCCCAGTCCCGTGGTTGTGTGGGAGCTCTGGGCGTGGGGGGTTTTGTACTGTATTTATTGCTGCAGCTGGGTGAGCCCCAAGAAACACCCGCTTTTTTTCTATGTGATAAAAATGGAAATAAACTCTATTTTTGCACTCTCTCTCTCTGTTCCGCTGTCTCCTGCTTTGCGTGGGAGGGAGGCAGAGTGGCCAGGGTGTGGGGACACAGGGACAGAGACACGGGGGATGAGGGAATGGGACTTTGGGGCACCATGCAGCTGCTGGTGTCAGCTCAGAAAGATGAAACGCAGCCCCCCCAGTGCCCCCACCCCACGGGCTGAGCCCGCTGAGGCAGGAGGTGCTGTGGGATGGCCGCTTCCTCCCACGCCTGGCAGAGCTGCTTGGGCAAGAGCCGATTCCTAGAAAGCTCCGGAAGCTGCCCGCGCTGGCAGCGCCCGCTGGGCACGGGCACCATGCCCAGAGCTGGTTTGTGGGCTCATCATGGGGCTGGTGGCACTGGGGGTCCCCAGCCACCCTTCTGCTGCTGCTGTGATACGGGGAATCTGCCCCAGAGCTGCCCAGGGATGTGCCAGGAGCCTTCCCAGAGCCCTCCCTGTGCCCAGGGATGTGCCATGGTGGGAGGAGGCTTTCAGCAGTGAGGAAGGCAGATGGATAAAGGGGCAGCCCCAATGTGGCTGAGCAATGTCAGGAGAGCCCTGGGCATCTCCCCTGCCCTAGAAAGCCCCTAAGGGCACCCCCAGCCTCTCCCCAATGGGTGTTTGCCCACCCTGGGCTGTCCCAGCTTCACCAGCCCCATTTCCTGCCACTGGGCCCACGCTCGCATCCCATGACCACCAGCATCCCTCACCACACTCATCCCAGCCACACAGGGACAGAGCCCAGTGCTGGGAGCATGCCAGGGCTCCCAGTTCCTGCCTCCCAGCTTCCAGCCCTGGGCAGAGGCTGGCACAGGCTGGAGCCCCACGGTCACAAACTGCCAGGGGGATGCCCTCACCCACAGGGAGGACAGATCCCTCCTTCCTCCCCCCGCCTCACGGGCGCTTACAGAAAACCCTCTTCTCCTGCTCCAGCCCTTTCCTGTAAGGGGAAGCGCCGGTGCCAACGCCAGGCATGGGGCTGCCTCGGCAAATATTGACAGAGCTGGGAAGGCCACGCCAGGTCCTGCTCTTTGCTCCGGGCTAACGGTAAAGAGCCGCCCCTGGGCGAGCAGAGGTGCCCGGGCGGGTCGGTGTCGGTGCCGGTGCCAGCTCAGGGTGGGACTCACACCAGTGTCAGGCTCGGTGAGGCCATCCCAGCCCATCCCGGTGTGTGCCACGGCTCCGTTACCCACCCCACCCAGCCCCGCAGCTGCTCCTGGCTGGGCCGGATGGGGACCAGGGGCTGGAGCCCTGGGGCCAGCAGGAGGGGGAGGATGCTCTGTGAGTGAAGGCCAAGGACCAGCAACACCCACAGCTACCCCAAGTGCATGGGGGTCTCTCCTTCCAGCAAAGCCTGGGGGCTGCCAGGAGCTGAGCTCATCCTGGGATCAGATGGGGTCAGCCCAGCCCGGAGTCACTGTCCCACTGCCTCTTCCCTGGCCAGCACTGACCCAAACCCTGCAGCACCACTCCAGGATCCCCCTGTGCCCCATTCTCCCTTCAGAGCCTCCCAAAACAGGGCTGGGAACCCCCCTGGTGCCAAGGGGGCAGAGGCACAGCCCAGTCCCAGGAGTGGGCTCGGAGTCACAGTGCCCTGAGGGAAGGGCTGGTACCTGCTGGCCCTGCTTTCCCCTTTCTTGTGAGTCAACACCAGTGGAAGGGGCAGAGGGGCAGCCGCCCTGGCACTGCCACTCCCTCAGGGACAAGAGTTCATGACAGCTCTTGGATTCACTGCTGGAGCAGCTGGCAGGGTGTGGGGACAGTCCCAGGGGAGCCTGTCCCAGCACGAGGATGGTGTGGTGCTGGCCAGGCCACAGTTACTCACCCACTGCCCGTGCTCACTGCAGACTGAACTCACAGGGAGGAATTCCAATGAGAACTCACACTCATGGGAAGGAATTCCAACTAGAACTCGTGCTCACGTGGCAGAATTCCCAACAAGATCCCACTTGTGGCTGACAGCACAGCAGGGAAGCATCCCTGCCCCACCCAGCACAGTGCCTGCTCCCAGTGAGAGCACCACAGGCAGCCCACCACCCACTCTCAGGTCTGGGACAGGGTGAGGGAGATTTCCCCTCCTGCCCAGCACAGGGCTTGGCCACTGGCTCCCCATCACCCCCAGGATCGAGGGGTTTTGGGGAGTCCCAGAAGCTCAAATGAGATGAGGCAAAAGCAGGTTGTACAAAAGGATTGATTTATAGAATACAAAAAATTAGGGGGTGTCTCAGTCTCAAAAGTGCCATGAGGCAGAGCAAGGAGATGGCTCCGTGTGCTGAGGGAGCAGCCCTGCAGCAGCTGCAGTGACAGGGGCCATGCCAGCCACCCAGACCAGCAGGGACATCCCTGGGCTCCTCAGGGATCCCCCCTGGCTGGAGCAGCCCTGGTCACAGAGCAGCGATGGCCTTGGCGGCGACACGGCGACCCAGGGGCAGGCTGAGGTCAGTGATGGCCAGGACAATTTTGGGACTGGACATGGTGGACACCTTCACCAGCTCAGAAACCTGTCCAGGGACAGAGGAGAAGCACAGGTGTGTGTCACCAGGAGCCTGGGATGTGGCCATCCTGTGGGACCCCGGGGCACTCCCCAGGCAGGGACAGGGGTGTGACAGCTGCTGGACCCACCATGGTGAAGGGCATGAACTGGAGGATGCTCCCACGGCTGCCCTGCTCCAGGCACTCCACACACTCCTCCATGAACCACTGGACAAACTGTGTGTGGGTGCCAGCTGTCTTGGCCCCCAGGATGGAAGAGATGAGCAGGAAGAGGTTTGCTGTGGGGACAGGGAGAGAACAACAGTCAGGTCACTTCTGGGAGGCTGCAGGCGGCCTGAGCTTCCCACTGGTGTCCCAGTGGTTGGATGTGACCCCACACCCATCCCCACCTTACCCAGCACCCGGTTCAGAGGGTCCCTCATGCTGACGGTGTGGAGCTGGGAGGCAGAGAGTGAGCTGCTCATGGAGCGATCTGTGGGCAGGAGCAGAGTCAGGAACAGCCTCACAGCCGCCCTGGCTGAGCCAATGTGCCCACGCTGGCCAGCTTTGGCCACTCGAGGTCACACAGCTCTGGGAGCTTTGTGGAGCAGAAGAGGTTTAGGTCCCCTGTATCCAACAGTCTGTGTCAGTGGGGCACAGCACAGAGGGTCTCTGCCCCATCCCTGTCCCCTCTGGCAGCCCACACGGAGCCCAGGCAGGTTTCCCACGCTGCTTTTGGGGTGTGACACGTGGTGTCACCACCAGGAGCAGAGAACAGCAGCGACACACACGTTACACATCCTGTGTGCGAGCCAGATGTTCAACAGCTGCTGCACAGCAGCCTTCCCATCTCACTGTCAGGGTGCAATCCAGCTATCAGAGCTGAAGCACGTCCAAATCTAGCAGCAAATCCTGGGACAGACCAGGAGGATTGAGCTGACCCCAGCTGTGAAGCACTGCTGGGCACTCCTGTGGGAAGAACTGGGTCAGGTCTGCTCCAATGGGATGGGAAGCCCTTTGGGAAGGCTTTTGTGCACACCCCACAGCCCCTGCCCAAATCTGCAGGATCCACCTTGTGCTGCTCTGAGGATGCTCACCAGAAAAAGAAAGCCCTCCCACACTTTTCTCATGGAATCACATGAGTTATATGGTGGCTGCAGGAAGCAGCATTTCCACATCACTGCAGCAAATAGCCCAAAAAAGTCCTGAATGTCACTGGGAAGAGGTGGGACTGCCTCAGGAGGTAAAAGAAGATAAGTGAAATAAAGGGAAAAGCCCACATTTCAACAGTAATGAAACCAACTGAAACTGAAGGTCAATGGATGTGTCGAAAACTAATATATAGAGTAATTTGGGATAAAGAGAGAAACAATGACCTGAGAATGTCCTGACTCACTGCCCAGGAGTGTGGACAATGTATGTGGGAACTGTGACAGCACCCAGTGGGCAGGACATGGACCCCCCCAGCAAATCCCCCGGCGGAGCTGTCGCAACCCGTGACACTGCAGGGACACGGATGTGACCAGGGCCCTCATCCGCTCTGCCTCAGCCTTGTTAACAGCACTGGAATGTCAGGATTTGGCCCCAGACACCGGAAAGTCACTCCAGCTCTGGTCCCATGAGGGATGGCTGCAGGGACACAAAGACCCCCATAGACCCTAGGGTGTGGGGCACTGGCAAGAAAGGAAAGGGTAATGTCACCCTTTTAAGTTGTTCTGATCAGAAAAATAAGGCAAT